GAACAGTGGAAGTCAGGTCGGCCAGCGAACCTCCACTTCCACTAGTCTTGCAGACGATCGACCAGTCGAAGTCAGTTGGCGAGCGCGGAACCGGCAACATGACAGGCCCAGCGTGGACGAGCATGGGGACCGTCCGGTGGACATGTCCGCGGACAGGTTCTCCGACGAACTCTCTACCCCCTGCATCCTCGACTCTCGAACCCTGCGCTGGGAGACTCTGCGCATTGCGCCATGGATGCATCATGTCGCATATGGCGAAGGAAAGTGCAGTCATGTGGAGAGGTGATAATGCGCAGTGGACAGTGGACGAGCGTAATGCTGGCGACGTACCGTGCAAAGCCAGTGCACCCTGAGAGCACCGGCATACTCGCGCAGCCGGCGCAAGGCCAAGCCCAAACGATCTCGACCACAGTGTGGCCGCCATGAGGGGGATGGACGCGAGGTCCGGAGGGGGAGGAAGAGGGAGGAGGACAACCTTGCACGCGCACGAACTTATGGACGCGCTCGAAAACCAGCGCGTCCCAAAAACTCGCCGGTGCCACAACGCAAACAGGCGCAAACACTCCCGCCTTGCCGGCCACTGGCTCGCTTGCAAGTTGCCGCTTCCGCCCGACTCGCCCCCAAAGACCGTTTCGGCTCGTGCTTGTCGCCGCCTCCGTCAGCGTTCTCGTCTCTCCGTCTGCCACCATGTCGTCCAAGCGCAAGTGGGATCAGGCCGCACCAGAGGACGCCGAAGCGCCGTCTGCGAAGGCCACGAAGGTCGAGGAAGGCAAGACCGCGTCCGAAGCAGCAGCTGCCGCAGCGGCCATTGCGGCCAAAATTGCGGCCCAGTTTGCGGGCGGCGGTGGGCCTATCGGTGGTGGCACGAAGGACCCCCATGACGGCGACTTCGTGCACGACATTGACATCAACGACATCAGGAACAGGTACCTCCTCACCAAGGGCGTGACACAGCAGCAGGTGCGTCTGTCCTCTTTCACGGCCGAGTCATGGCCTCATACTGGGGAACGCGCAGATACACGACGAGACGGGTGCTTCCGTCAGCACCAAGGGTGTATGGTACCCGGACAGGTCAAAGGCTACCGAGAGGGACCCCCCTCTTTACCTCCACATCTCTGCCACCTCGCAGGAGATGCTGCAGAAGGCCATCGACAAGGTCAACGAGCTCATCAACATGGACATGGGCTCTCTCGTGGAAGACAAAAGTTCGCGGACGCGCGAAAGGGTACGTGTCCCTGCTGACTCGGATGTCGTACATGCCGCTCACTCACGGACTTGCAGCGCAAATGGCCTGAGGAGAAGATCCCTGTGGGAATCGACACTATCAGGAACTTCAACGTCCGTGCGAAGGTGGTTGGGCCATCGGTATGTCGCTGTTCTGTTTACCTCGAACCCCTGCTCACGGGGGTGCAGGGTATGTTCGTCAAGTATATCCAGCAGGAGACAGGTACTCGTGTGCAGATCAAGGGTCTCGGTTCTGGATTCGTTGACCAAGACACTGGCCATGAGCACGACGAGCCCATGTTCATCCATGTAACGTGAGTGTCCGCCAGCTCGTCCTACTCTGTCCAATTCGCTCACGTCTATGTATTAGTGGCCCCGACGAGCAACAAGTGCAGCGCGCGAAGGCGCTCACGGAGGATCTCTTGGAGGTCGTACGCGCGGAGCATGCGAAAGTGAAGGCAATGCTGGCACATCAACAAATGGAACTCCATCAAGCACAAGTCCAGTACGCTGCTTACAATGCTTATGGTGTATGTATGCTCCGCTCATTCTCCTCTTCTTCGTGCCAGTCCCCTATGGCAGACAAGTTGCCTCTGCCTGACCCTGGTCTGTATACTTCTATTGTTGGATCGCTGACATGTTTGTGTCTAGGGTTATGCGCCCCCTCAACCGGGTAGTGCGCCCCCTCCTCCACCACCTGGCGAACAACCGCCTCCACCGCCAGACGGGAGTGCTCCCGCACCCCCTGGCGCCGCGGCAGCAGGCGCTAACGCACAAGCAGGCGCGATGCCGGCCGCAGGTGCCTCAGCGGCCGACTGGGATGCGTACGCGGCTTACTGGTGAGTAACCCCCGTCGCCCGAGTGTTCGCATGAGTTAACGTTGCACGACAGGACTGCCTACGGGTACGACGTCAACTCGCCTCAGTTCAAAGAGTGGCAGGCCCAGCAGCAGCAGCAATACGCGCAGTACTATGCTCAGGCCGGCTACACGGCGGGTGCAGCTGGCACGCCAGGTTCGTCGGGCACGCCTGCGCCGCCTCCCAGCGACCCCGTTCCTCCCCCGCCCCCTCCTGCGTGATTGGCCTTGGATTTGAGTTGCTACGGTGTCTTTGAGCATAAGGTCGGTATCTAATAGGTATATGATTCTATGTACGGTAGTACCGCGATGGGATAAAACGAGACTCGTGCCTCGGACACTGCCTGTCGTCCTGGGACCCTCAGCTGCGAGCAGAGAGTTTGAAGCTGGGAAGCGTCCGTTGCGACTTGAAGTGCTAGTCAAGTGACAACTTGCACAAGAAGGCTCTACTCCTGCAAGATGAGCTCCTGCGCAGTTTCGTGGGAGAGTCGTAACCACAACCAACGATGGGATGCACCGGACGTGGTTGACGTGGGTATATGGGCTCCGCCGTGCTTTGAAGAGATAAGGTCTTTGGGTCCTTGAGTAGACCGGCGGCTGGTAGAACCTTAAGTACCACATCTTTGACTGGAAGTGGACATGTGGGCGTCATGAGAGAGGTCGAGAGGAGGAAGTTCCTTGTGCTTCCTCATCGTTTCAGGAGGAGATGAGCGAGCCTCCAGCACAGCGGGGTCTGTCCAGTCAAAGTGATCCAAACCCAAGCCCACCTCAGGAGCAGCAGCGTCCCGTGACATACTTACCACCCTAGATACGCAGTGAAGACTGTCTCGCCTCGAGCCTGCAGCTTTGGTCAGAGGTGTAGAGCGACGTGGCGCGAAGCGATCGGAAGAGGCGACTCAGTTGACGCTAGACGTTGCCTCGTATCTTCTGCTCGTCCACAACCTGTGAAGTCGCGACTCACTCGTCAGCCAATACGGGCAATGTTAAGTGTGACCGGAGGTAAGCTACCTCTTGAAACCGCTCAGCAGTCCAATGCATCTGGACCTTGTCCAGTTGGTCTTCGGGTAGCCACCACTCGAGGAACACGAAGAACAAGCAGTCCACGACGAGGATGATCGCGAAGATGATGCCAGCTGCGGGTCCCAGGTCCAGTGTGCTGCAGTTACTCGCGTCAGTAGTAGGTTTGTAACGGGAAGGTCGCGACTCGGGAGGACGGACCGATGCATGCGAGTCCAGAAGTCGTGTGGGGGCGACTTCACGACCGAGTCGTAGACGGCCTCCGTCCGCTGCGCAACGTCGCGCCAGTCGTAGAAGCCTCTGATGCGTGCGTGCGCCTTGTGTGGGTCGTGCTTGCCGGCGGACACGAGTCGGATTGCCTCCGACATTGCGCGAACGACGTCTGCAACATGCAACAGAGCAAAGGAGTTGAGAGGTTGCTTGACCTTGACGGGCGGTGGGGCTCGCAAGACTCGGAGAACAGCTTACCATCTTCATCCGGATTCGCAAAGGAGATCATGTCCTCCGGCAGGATCTCGGGAACTCCGCCGACCCGTGTGGACACGACGTACAGGCCGGCACATGCAGCTTCGAGGATGGCTATCCCGAATGCTTCGTCAGCGAGGTGTTCATGAAGATTGTTCCTTGGACGAGAACCTAGACAGAAGAGTCATCAGATTGACTCCTGGGAGCAGCGCGTCGCACTCACGTCGCGGACGTCGCTGTGGCGAACAGGTCCAAGCATCTCTATGCGGTCTTGCAGCAGATACTTCTCTCGCATTTGCAGCAGATCTATCATCTTGGGCCCGTCTCCTCCTGTTCGTAAAGTGATATGAGTTGTTCCGTTCGGTCACACCAGATATAGGTATCCTTGCCAATGAGAAAGCGGACGTTGGGAAACAAAGCGCATATGCGAGGTGCCGTTGCTACGAGCAGATCGACTCCCTTCCTATACGCAAGCCGAGATATCACGACCACTGTGACTGGGCGAAGTCAGCACCATCCCTCATGCTGTAGTATGGAATCGAAGATGTCTCACTCGTGTCTCCAGAAGGCGGAGATGGGGCTGGCTTGAATTGGTCGGCAACCAGTGCGTTGGGGATGACGTGAACGATGTCGGGAAGGAGCCTCGCTCGCAGTACAGTATTTTCGCGACTGGCCTTCGGTCAGTACCGTCGACAAAGAGATGCTGGCACGTCACATACCCGGTGTGAGATACACAGATGGCGGCATCTACGTTGCGCAAAGCCGCTTCGAGCAGCTTGTTAGTCAGGATACTCGCTGCGTCGTCGAAGCCAAACAAGCTGTGGTCGGTGAACACGGTCCGCACGCCCATGAGATGGGCATGCAGTATGCCTTCTTGTGCGAGCGAGGAAAGACCCGCGTGGCCGTGTATAATCTGGATCCCTTCGCGAAGTACGATGGTGCGCAAGTGTGGCAGGAATGCGAAGTAGTTTGGCAATGTTGCGGATGATGCGATGGTTGGGTATGGGAGGTAATAGACCTTGAGCGACGGAAGAAGCCACCGTATGCCTACACGGTCCGGCGGATGGCTGTGAGTGATGACTATGACCTGAGAGACTTCAGCACGGGTCCTGCTCACAGCAGCAAGTTTGCTGAGGCATACCTTATGACCGCGCCGGAGCAGATTCGCGCTGAGCATGTATATGTGGCTCTCGACTCCGCCCACATTGGGGTGGAAGAAGTCAGATATCATCCTAGGAGGGAGTCAAACATCATTGTGGGGGATGGGCGCCATGAGGCTTGCGAGCTCACGCTATGTTGAACCCCATGGTGGAGTCTCCTGTGGTTAAGTGGGAAGGAACCAACTCGGCAGGTCAAGTTGCGACTCGGCTTCAGAGTACTGTGCTGCCGGAGTAAGACTCCTGCAACCATGTGGGCATCAGAGTAGCACTCCAAGGAAGGTTCGATGGTGTAGTTGGTTATCACGTCCGTCTCACAGGCTTGATGGGGGAGTCAAGTGGTTCACGGGAGGTCTCCGGTTCGAACCCGGGTCGAACCATTTTTTGTGTTCAATGGTTCCTGAAATCGCTCAGCCTCTACTTGTGTAACCTTCTCCCCATCAATGACACGTTCGCGCTCGTCCCGATACTGCCCCATTTCGGAACGGCGCTGGAAGGTAATTATGATCAAAGTCTGGGACATGTCACGGTCAGTAGACCAGCACCCCTTTTCGTTTTCCCTGGAAGTTTCACTTTCCCATCCTGGCCCCTTTCCTACTTCGTACACATCTCACTTTGGACCCCTTGATCTCATTCTCGCGCCCGTATGCTCTGTTCCCGCGACTGCATGCCTTGTTCTCGCACTTACCATCCCGTTACCATGTGTTTTCCCACCCTTTTGTCTCCCACTCGTACAGCCTCGCTCCCTTTCCCGCATGAGTCACGTCCACTGGCACGTGATTGTTCAGAGTAGACTAGTATATAAACCCCTCCCAGCGCTTACCTGGTCCCCATCTCGACCTCCTGGTCATTGGGACTAGGTGCGCTTTCCCCCATGTACTTTCCCCTTGTCTCTGTGCTAATATAACCTGGTCATTGGGACTAGTCTGTCGCAGTGCGCGTGAAGACTAGCTATCGACGACTTTGTGCCTCCGAGCCGGTCATTGCTCTGCCCTCGTCGAGCTTTCTCTCTACTCCCCCCTTTTCGGCTCCTCGCTGCTCGCCCCTCAGACCGTCGCTGATCGACGTCTGGTGTCTACGCACCTAGTCGCCGCGACATTAGGTCGAGATCCCTCATCGGTGCCGACACTCTGACAAGAGTGTCCCCATCGCTCGACAAGCCACCCCGTCACCCTGGACTGTTCCCGCAGACACCACGCCTGGGATACCGAAGACCAAGAATACGTCCATCGAGGAAGGATCCGGAGGATAACGCGTGGTACTGGGAATCCTGTGAGCAGAACCCTTGCCCCAATCGTCACTATCGCCCCAGTCGCATCAACGTCGAAGCCTACTCCGAAACTTTCATCCCCGTCCCCGACTCTCCCGTTGCAGAGTCACCCACCACACACTCCCCCCTTCCAAGCACCCCGATTGACGAACGCGAGGTCGTTGCTCTTATCGCCGCACCCCCATCACCTGTGATCACCCCCTCTCGTCCACCGTCAGCACCACCTGCGATGGCCGAACAAGGGCAACCAGGGGCTCAGAACCCAGCAGCAGCCCAGCAGGCTAACCCTCAGCCTGCACAGCCAGCCCAGGCTGCCCAACACGCCCAAGCCGCCCAAGCTGCGCAACCAGCGGCGGCTCAGCCTGCTCCTGCCCAAGCTCCCGACGCCACTCAGCTCCTCCTCCAATCGATGGCCCTCCTCACGCAATCGATGACGCAGCTCGCCTCCGCCACTCAGGCCAACAACTCGTCGAAGGCGGTTCAGAAGCCTGCACCGTTCAAGGGAGAGCAGGGCGGAGAGGCACGTCGCTTCCTAGCGGCCTTCACGATGTGGGCTATGACCCAAGGCGCATCTCTCAACCACCTCGACGCTGCCGGGAATGCTATTGGTCCCCGTAACGACCAATGGATCCGCACCGTCCTCTCGTACCTGCAGGATGACGCCGCCCTCTGGGCCACCCCGGCCATGGAGCAGCTCACCCTGGGCCACATGCCGTTCAACAACGACTGGAACGAGTTCCGGTCACAGTTCAAGGCCCGGTTCGAGTCCGTGGACGAGGCCGTCGACGCAAAGGAGCGTCTCCGGAAGCTCTACCAGGGCTCCCTCACCGTCCCGGAGTACGCCGCACGGTTCAAGGAGCTTGCTGGTCGAACGGGCTACTCAGGTGCCGACCTCCGAGACCGGTTCTACGAGCACCTCTCCGATGCGATCAAGGACGAGTTGGTGCACACCGCTCGCCCCATTGGAACGCTCGAGGAGCTCATCACCGTCACTGCTGACATCGATGTCCGTGTCCGTCAGCGGCGCGCGGAGAAGGCTCGCCAGCAGGGAAGGACACTCCCTACCCCCTCGACTAGAACCCCTGCTGCCGTGCACACCACCCCGTTCACACCCGCCGCCCGAGACCCCAACGCTATGGACGTGGATGCCACCCGTACCCGCGAGGACTTCAACCGCTTCATGCGCGGCAAGTGCTACGGCTGTGGCTCCGAGGCGCACGTCAAGAAGGACGGAGGCCACGATCGGGAGATCTGCAACTACTGCCGTCGCGCGGGTCATCGCGAGGTAGTCTGCATGGACAAGTTCCTCAAGAAGCCGCGCTCGCAGAGGGCGTCCGCCACCGTGGAGGGTGAAGGGGAAGCTCAGACCGCTGCCTCCACGTCGACCCCTTCTGCAGTCGACACCAGCGTGTTGCTGGCGCAGCTGATGGAACAGCAGAAGCTCCTTGCAGAGCAGATCGCTGCCCTCCAGCAGTCTTTTTAGAACGGGCGCGCGCGAAGGCTGCCGCAGCGACGCCCTCTGATACTACTACGACCCCTCCCCTTTCGAGTACCACGAGCATGTACGATAGTGTTAGTTCTTGTGTTATCCCCGAATTAAACCCTACCAGTTCCCATTTCCATGTGAACGTGTTACTCAAAGGCCGGCACCGTAGCGTACGTACTGCAGCTATGATAGATAGTGGAGCGACAGCGCTATTCATTAGTCGACGATTCGTACAGAAGCATACTATTTTCTTACATACGTTACCGAGACACATTCCCCTTTACAACATTGATGGTTCTAAGAATACTGCAGGTAGTATTACACATTTTGTTAGGTTACAACTCTCCATGGGCGATTACGTAGAATGGCTCGAATTCCTCGTTACAGATCTGGGTCCTGAAGACGTCGTACTAGGCTTACCTTGGTTACGTAGGGTCAATCCGGACATTGACTGGCAGGGAGGTACGATGGAGATCGGGGCCGAGGAGAAGGAGGAAGGGACGGAGACCCTAGCCGCTGACTGGACCCCGGGCGTGGAACGGATCGCCGCCAACCGGGTGCAGCGCAGGAAATGGTGGAAGGCTGGAGTATTGGAGGACTCGACCGAGGAGATGTGGTGCGCCGCCGGGTACACCTACTCCACGGAGCTTGCTCAGAAAGCGAACCAGGACAAGCCTGCACGGTCGTTCGAAGAGATTGTGCCTGAGGAGTACCGCCAATACTCCAAGGTCTTCTCTGAGGCCGAGTCGGAACGGCTTCCCGAACACAAGCCGTACGACCACGGATCGACCTCAAGCCTGACGCGCCCGAGACACTCCGCTCGAAGGTGTACCCTATGCCCCCAAACGAGCAGGAGGAGTTGGACCGGTTCTTGGAGGAGAACCTGCGCAAAGGCTACATTGTCCCCTCGAAGTCCCCGATGGCGTCCCCTGTCTTCTTTGTCAAGAAGAAAGACGGCAAGCTTCGGCTGGTCCAGGACTACCGGAAGCTTAATGAGTTCACGGTGAAGAACCGCTACCCTCTCCCACTCGCTGCTGATATCATTTCCCGACTCCGTCAGGCGCGGTACTTCACGAAGTTCGACGTTCGTTGGGGGTACCACAATGTCCGCATCAAGGAGGGTGACGAGTGGAAGGCCGCCTTCGTCACCAACCAGGGGTTGTTCGAGCCGCGGGTCATGCTGTTCGGGCTCACGAACTCCCCAGCGACGTTCCAGGCCCTCATGAACTCCATCTTCGCCGATCTCATTGCTGCGGGTAAGGTCGCTGTCTACCTGGACGACATCCTCATCTTCTCCACCACCCTGGAGGAACACCGTCGAGTCACTCACGAGGTCCTGCGACGTCTCCAGGAACACGATCTCTACCTCCGCCCAGAGAAGTGCGAGTTCGAGCGCACGGAGGTTGAGTATCTAGGCCTGGTTATCCGAGAAGGCGAGGTCGCAATGGATCCAGTCAAAGTCAAGGCGGTTACGGAGTGGCCGGCCCCGAAGAACCTGCGCGAACTGCGAGGTTTCCTGGGGTTCGCCAACTTCTACCGTCGCTTCATCCGTGACTTCTCGAAGCACGCGCGGCCCTTGAACGACCTGACCAAGAAGGACGTCCCTTGGACATGGGGTCTAGCACAGCGACGTGCCTTCCAGGCCCTCAAGGACGCCTTTACCTCGGAGCCCGTCTTGGTCTCTTGGGACCCTGCGCGACCCACTCGTCTGGAGGTAGACGCTTCGGGATTCGCAACAGGTGGAGTGCTCCTGCAGAAACTGGATGATGGGCTGTGGCACCCAGTGGCCTTCCGATCGGAGTCGATGACGGACGCGGAGCGAACTACGAGATCTACGACCGGGAGATGCTGGCTATCATACGCGCCTTGGAGGACTGGCGACACTACTTGGAAGGGCTTCCAGAACCCTTCGAGATTGTCACGGACCACCGCAACCTGGAGTACTGGCGCACGGCCCAGAATCTCAGTCGCCGTCAGGCCCGTTGGTCGCTGTACCTGAGCCGGTTCGACTTCCGCCTCACGCACAAGCCTGGGAAGACCAACACCCAGGCCGATCCCCTTATCACGGCTCCCCACCCACCAGGTCTCGGATGCTGACGACAATCGCGAGCAGATCGTCCTCGGCCCAGAACGCTTCGCGGCCCTTGCAGGCTACCCTCATGGACACAAGCACTCTCGAACAGGAGATCCGCGAGGCAGAGCTTCTGGACCCCGAGGTCGTCGAAGCCCTTCGCGTCCTCAAGGAGAAGGGTCCGCGCAAGCTGACGAATGGTCTCCTGGAGTGGGAGGTGGTTGACGGACTCATCTATCGGCACGGAAAGCTGTACGTCCCTCCAGACGTAAACCTCCGCAAGCGCGTCACCTCCCTCTGCCACGATTCCATCACGGCAGGTCATCCAGGACGGAATGGCACACTCGAACTGGTAGACCGTCTCTTCTGGTGGCCCCAGCAAGCTGCGTTCGTGCGGAAGTACGTCGAAGGGTGTGATGTCTGTCAACGTCGCAAAGCTCCTCGCCACCCTCATGGAACCCTCACCCCCACGACGTGCCAGAAGGGCTGTGGCAGACCATGGGTGTCGACCTCATCACCGGGCTTCCTAGGGTCAAGGGTTACGACGCGATCA